TTGGAACCCTGGTTACAAACTGGAACCCTGGTTAGCTGGCAAAAAAAATATAAGCATAAACATTGACTTCTCATGATACAACGCTGCTTTCTTTCGCACCTCCTCTGTCGACACCAGCAAGTCTTTCCTCAGGAGAACAAGCTTCCAAAATGCTGTAAGCCAGCATGCTTTCCTCTTCCCTGTCTCAAAATGCAAAAAAAAATGCATCTGAAAGGGAACAAAAGATCATCAACACGACATCACGTGCCAAGCTGCTGGTCTCCCACAAACCACCAGCCCCTGGGGGCCGTCACCGCCGTCTCGGACACCTCTGGTGTCACCGATGCCACTGCGCCGACTTCGTAAGGTGCCTCGGTCGGTGTGGTCTGCGACAGTGTGGTCGGTGGGAAGAGCAGGCTGGTGGACTCAAGATGAGACGTCCTCCTGCAAACGCGTCAAATGTTCAAAACCATGAGTAGAACATGTTTGGAACCCCACTTTCAAGAGCCTTGGGCCTTTGCATTCTCAAATTCGCCAAAATGATCCAACAAGCTACAGTATTTTAAGATCACCACATCAATCGCCCAGGTGCGGAAGGAGTCACTGGCTGTCGTCGCTCGTCTTTGCTGTGCGCATATGGGCAGTAGTATCTGCATATGGCGCAACAGTGACACAGAAAGCTTATGTTTGTGTGTTTAAGAGAATGGAAACTGACAGGGGATGACGTCTCACTACAAGACGAAAACCCTGAACATGCAAACCACGTCAAGTAGTCAAAGCCTGTGCGTGGTGCAAGCATAGAAAAATAACATGGACTGTTTCTACTTCCAATAGAAGTAACTTGTCCAACTACATATGACATATATGTTTCATATATATAATATGTGAACATATATAGACAAATATTCAAATAGTGGTTTGCTGGTGGCAATCAACTAAGAGCCGCACTGTTGGCAATGGGCGCCCGACTCACACATTTTTGTCCTAAGAATGTGTGTGAAAGCAACTAACAAGTGCGACCCTGAACTGAACCTGAACTGAACTGCCCCGAAGTCTTGAAACCTGAAGCGCATTCCGCAGCATATCTTTCAACACGCCCTTCCTACTGCAGGATACAATTCTCCTCAACTTCACTCATCCAACTTAATCCAACTGATTGTTCTCACGAATCAGCGGCCTGCCGGGCCTGTCGGACAAAGAACTGAACCCCCAGTTGTACAACGCAAGCCTCGTAAGCTGCATGTTTTGAACCTGGTTTACAGGTATGTTTCTCTTCTCCAGGCGGCTTGTAGTGGTCTGGATGAAACAGTTTCTCCTGGATGCAAGCGCAAGCAGTCACACAGTGAAATGTTTCAGAAAAGTCACAATCAGTCGAAGATGGAAGTAGAGTACATGATAGTACATGTATTCTCCTCAGTTGGCTAGTTCGGCTAAGTGTAACACAAGCTATACATCTGTATATATATATATATACATCTATATACATCGTCTACGATTGAGATGAACTTCTACGATGCGAGGAACAGTGCTGTTCGAGTACCAGCTGTGTTCTTCTCAGCACCGCACACCGAACGACGCGAGTCTCATTGAGTTGCGCGAGTCTCCTCTTTTGTGTGGGCCAAAGGACACTGGTCACCACGCTTGCATGAGGCTGGATTCGGACACATCTGAGTGGAGTACTTGACCTTCTTGGGATTTCCTGGCAAACTGATCCAAAAGCACGGAAATTTCCTCGCTACTAGGAGCAAGGACGCTACTAGGGGCTCCCGGCATTGCTACTACAAGTAGTAACAAGAAGCTACTAGGAACAAAGGGCATCGCTACTAGGAGCAGGAAGCTACCAGTAGCTCCTGGCATTAGTAACAAGAAGCTACTAGTAACACGTGCATCGCTTCTAGTAACAAGTGCCACGCTAGTAGTAACAAGTGCCTTACTAGTAGTAACAAGAAGCTACTAGGTTAGAGGCCATACATCACAACATGTTGATTCGAGTGGCGCCGGGCCATAGGCTCGTGGGAATATTGGCAGCGCTCTCCGAAGGTGCACTGACCTGGCGAGGAACGGAGGGAGCGGTCGTCTTGGCCGAAAAGGCACACAGGTCAAGTGACATGAAGTATTTAAACATAGCTTCTTGTTGCTACTAGTAAGGCACTTGTTACTACTAGTAAGGCACTTGTTACTACTAGTAAGGCACTTGTTACTAGTAGCATTCTTACTAATTGTGCCTACCGGATCCGGGTGACTATACTTGACCTGCAACCAGTCCCTACCGGTGCAACCGGGTGATTGTGTTTCAATCAAGACTGGTTGCGTCTGGTTGCCATAGATGGTTGCTATAGATCAATCACGTGTGCGCCCACCAGCAAGCCATAAACAAAAAAGAGGTCGCATGAGGTCGCATGTGGTGAATCACTTCGCCCGGCATGGCAGCACCTTTCGCCACCAATCGCTCGCAGGGCTTGGTGCGGAAGCGTGCCAAGTTCTTGTCGCTCAGGAAGGAGGACAAAGCCATTTTCTGCCTCGGAAGGTCGCGCGTGGGCGTGAAGGACCGCATGGTGGGCCGCCGGGAAGGTCCGAGGTGGAGAATGGGAAGAACCTGCCATCGGTTTGGGTCTACGGTCTACATACCCATTTGTTTGGGTCTGCGGAGAGAATAGCTGCAGGCTGGCCACTTCCTTAAGTGTTCCAATTGCGTGAGTGTGCGGAACTCGCTGGTGCAATACTGCCTCTTCCACTTCTAAGACGTCTGGGCTTCGTGAATGCGTGTTGCAATCTGATGCCTAATCCCGTTGTAGATGAATCTGTGACTGTTGTCCGTCTTGCATCACTCAGCTACATCATTTTCCTATGCATCTAAGCGTGCATGGCATGCATGGCATGGCCAATGTCTGAAGCAATGCATAACGCCCAGAACGTCGGGGATGGAAGAGACGAAATTCCGGTGTCTTAGCGCCAAGGCTAGGCGCTTTGACTTGAGCCAAACGACAACCCAAACAGCAAGCATGCCAGGCCCGGTTGGGGAAATGCACACAGAAGAGTAGGGCCACATGAGGTCAAAACCAATGAATGTTGTGTCGTCGAGTCTGAGATCTTGCCTGTGTTCTGTGGCGCTTGTAGAAAAATCAGCTTTGCGAGGCATTTTCTTTACAGAGGCTGACGTCTATAGTTCGAGGACCCAGTTGTAGATAACGCGCCTTTATTTTGTGCCTGTCTTTTTCTCCACACCCTGGCGCAAAGAGGTCTGCTGTGTTTTGAGCAATGACGACGGTGTTCAAAACCTAAGCAGCACGGGGCAAATGGCTCACACATGAATTAAGCATCCTCGGCCATGTTTGCAAGCACCGTAGTCTCCATATGAGGTCACTTGAGTAGCAGAAGTTGATCCACTCTAAAAGCAACCAGGGGCAAATGCATCCTATCTATATTTCTCGTGACATGAATCTGAAAATATTAATGAACTGCATTGAACTCCAGTTAGCTTCCTTTCAGGCTCCGACCAAATAAGGCCCCGACCAAATGCGCACGCGATATTCGGAGCTTTGGCGAGGCTCAGCATTGGTCGGCGCCGTGGGGTCTTCGAAGGCAGTGTGGAAGCACGTGTTGAGCTCCGGGCCACTTTGACCTCCGACGCTTGAAGCATCTTGAAGCTTTCAAGTCATGTGTCCCCAACGAAATTTGTGCGTAAAGGAAGCTTTCAACTTGTATCAACTTGTTCTTCCTTCTTCAACAACGTGTCTTTGCAAAGAGGCAACCGAGCAGCTTTTAAAATATTGGAAGGACTTGAAGACAAGGATTTCATCAGTGGTCATGTCCTTGTCAGAGTTTCCCAACACCTCCAATCATAGCATGTCTTTGCTGCTCTTGCAACATGAAACTTGAAAATACGTGACATTGGTGCTGAAGAGTTGTTATTGTGAACCTGCATCGTGATTAGTAATTATATATATATCAGTACGCTATCTTCTGAGCGCACTACACGACATACTGCATTCGACACAAAAGAGAAGAACGGCACAACTTCGCGACGTCGCGCGGCCCACGCGTGCTCTCCGGATAGTAGTACCAGCGCTGTTCATCATCATGGGCCAAAGCCAGCATCTTCACATAGCCCAACTCGTCCCATCGAATCCGGAAAGGAACCGTGTCCTCTCCGGAAACGCGTGCGTTCCGAACGACTCAACGGAGCGCCCACAAAGGGAAAACAATGGTTTGGCCACCAACGCAACAAAAAATAGAAACATCACTCCCATGATGGAACACCAACTCATCTGTGATGCATCTGCGGCATGTCTCTCATTGGTCACTTCACCCAAACCTAGGCGGTACTGCTTTGCTCCTCCCAGCCGTGGCTTTGGGATAGAACCACAAAGCCCCGAAAACGGCCCCTGGGTTTACTGGGTTTGTTGCGTTCCCAACAGTTGCTTGAGGTTGGAAACAAAGACAAGGTGTTCCCAAACGTTCCCAAACCTCCTTTCCCTCGTCTAACCTGATAGCGATGCCTCCAACCCAAGAGCTTCTTGCTACTATAATAGTAATGGCCTCCAACCTAGAAGCGATGGCCTCCAACCTAATAGCGATGCATCCCATATGATCCCCATCCGCCCAACTTCACACTGCTTCACTCCTCCAACTTCACACTGCTGGGGTCGCACACGGCCAAAGGGGCTTTCTTCACGGGGCCCTTCATCGGCAAAACGGGCCGCCAGAAGTTCACGGCCATGAAGCCTCCAAGCGCAACACAACAGCAAGAAGCCATGACAAGCATTCCCCTTTCATTCTTTCTGTTCTGTTCTTGTCTTTCATTTCTGTTCGTTTGTTTCTCAAGCTTTGAAGGTTGATGCCTGTCGCTCTAATTGCTCTTTAGTCCTCTCTGACATTCCAACAAAAACATGCCCTGTTGAGCTGTCAAGCCACAATGTGCCATAACTACCCCACTGACACCAGGACTCTGAACAATGCTTTGAGAGGAGTTCTTTTTCACCAGATCATCAGCCAGGGAGCCCTTGACGGTTGGCGCATCAAAGCGAGATTTGAAGCCATTGTCCATCAAGGGCCAATCTTCTGCAGTGAAGCCATAGTCCTGGCAGAAATGATCCAAAACATCTTAAAATGAAGGGCACAACGAACATTTGACGCAGGCTCTCCTGGCCTGATGCACCGAGAATGAGTATGTAGGATTCTTTGTCCCAGGACCACGGCGTGCACAAAGAGGATCCTTGGGGTTCGAGAGGTTGATGGACCACATGTCTTTTCAGTGTGACGATTCTTGTAGAGGTGTTTTAGTTTTCATGGTATCGGTGGAACCCTTCCAAAGTTGTTGTCCACATACAGTAAAGCTAGCTGCCAGCCAATCCAAATCCAAAATATCCCTGTGTTTTCTTCGAGAAATAAACATCAAATACACCAGGAACTTCTGGTTGCAAGCATGACCCCTGCCAACGGTCACTCATTCATCACACGACTCAAACACCGAGTACACTCAAACCGCCAAGCCCCTACTCCCACTCGGGGTCAGAGCTCTACTTCCATTCTATAATCGAAGCGGGTGGCACTACATGTTTGGTATTCGGAAAAGGGTTTTTCAATTGGCCATGCCATCAACTTTCGTTCCATGGAGTGTATTCCCTTAGGAACCCAAAAAGAAGCTACTAGGGGCTCCTGGCATCACTACTAGGAGCAAGGACGCTACTAGGGGCTCCTGGCCGTACTACTAGTAACAAGCAGCTATTAGAAACAATAAATATTGGTCTTCTCTAGTGCCTTCCCAGGCGGCCAACTCCACCTCTTTGGCACTGGGCATCAATTCCCTGACGACGTGGGTGGCGTCTGATGACGTGGGAACTCAACGATGGAAGCCACGAACAAAGGCCAATTTGAAGAAGGTTACAAAGACCAACAAATGGCCCTTCAAAGATCAACAAATTCGGATACATCGCATGGACGCTTTTGACTTCTGACAACTCTGATTCGGTGACGAATTTGAGCATGTTACACCACTGTAGCTGTCTGTGCAGCCAATAGTTTGTCAGAATTATTCTGCAGGGGCTGGCATGGAGAGGTTCCTGTTGTTTCCTTGATTCAAGCTTGCGTCGTACAGTCGGCACACCTTTCGAATCATGCGATTCATTGTGTATATGTATCGTAAACATGTTAAAACTATATATACACAAGATTCATCCATGCGAGAATCAGAATACTGTAAACAAACCTAAACTTCACAAAGCAAAGGAACTGCTCCACCCGAATAGCACTGTCATCTCTTACCATCTCGCCTTACCATCTCTTCGACTTCTTTGGCATAGATGCGAGAGACGGCAGTCTCTATCTTTGGCATACCAATGCCTGACATCACTTGGTTAGCACTGATTTGGTTGGTATTTCCAGCGCACGACCTGGATAACTGTGGCGAGAGACTGCGCGCCTTTATGAACCAGTGATGGAGTGCTTACTGGGCTGTTGTCAGCTGTTCAAGCAACTTCTTGAAGAATTGTCCACGCCTGTTCGCTCCTAAGATGTTCGATGCATTGGCCCAAAGCAACCTGGATTCTACTTTGTTTCAATCAACAATCTAAGGAAATGCACCACTGCCCCACATCACCTTGTCACATGCTTCTTCGCGCCATAGAAAGCATTACAGTGTCCATTCCTGCAAGTCCAACAGTTAGAAAGTTGACACATGTCCAAGTTTGAGAGGCACCCCGAAACTGCATCGTGGGCCTGTGAAGTTTGACAAATCCAAAGTTTTCGGCGCACATTGCATCCAGTCAGCAGCAGTCATGGCAGTCTCTTTCTTCAGCAGCACAAAACCATGCTTCTCAAAGAACTCTCTTTTCCTTAGAATGACCCACCACCGACGGAATGACCCAGCAATGCACGGTCACACCAAATCAAACGACATTATGTATCAAACAAACGTCAATACTTGTCCCAAAAACATTAATTCATACAGTAACTGACCAGGAGTTAGAATATAAAATCAATTAAAACATGAATTAGGATCTAATTCACTGAGGCAGACCTGGTAAAAATAGCACATAGAATACAATGCAGTTGGAATATGGTGGAGCAGCCATTGAATCAACACCATTGATCTTTATCACTTCCATTTGTAACTTTACTACAGTAAGCAAAGCATGCTTTATCTTTGGCATCCATTATCTGTTGGCACCTCCTCATTAAAGAAAGAATCATTGAGGAGTCAAGGAGCTAAGATGTATCACTTTTGTTTTGCCTCTTGTATATTCTAAGTGCATTGGTGTAGATTCTAAGTGCATGGAAGCTCCGAATTACAATTTTATATTCTAACTACATTCCTAATTCCTTATGTTGAATTCTAACAGCCAGTCACTGATAGTAAAGTTCTCCACATCAGCGGCAGCATCAGCACCAGAAAATGAGTGTTGACCCAAAAACCACAAACTCCAAAGTATGATCAACATACCAGCAACTCTGTGTCATTGTTCTCACCACCATTCGAGAAAGAACCGTTGTGATACAAAATCTGACCAGGCTCTACATGTATAAATGCGCACATCATGAGAAATCTCAACACCAGAAGTCCGTGAACTCAAAACACTTGGCAAAAGTCACGTTCAAGGTGCCATCTGTCCGACCGTCGTCCTCGGCTCTTTTGAAGAGCCCAGGCGCGACAAACCTTCTATTGCTTCCTGATCTCTTGCATTGAAGACCTTGACAACGACCTCATTGACAGGAAAATGGCCGCTGCCTTTTGAATGTCGACAAGCATGAACTCATACTCTATCAGACCTGGGGATCGCCTCAAATATCATCAAAATGGTGCTTTGCAAATATGGGTATGATCAAATAGTCCTGAAGTACGAGAACCGGGCCTCCTCTGAAGCTGTACCGGGCCTCCTGTTCTCTTGAGAACCGAACCGTCCCGATCACCTTCCAAAATAGGTCGACAAAACAAGACCAAACAACTTCTTCAGAACCCTAGGAACAAGAAGCTACTAGGAGCAAAGGGCATCGCTACTAGGAGCAAAGGACGCTACTAGGGGCTCCTGGCCTTACTACTAGGAACCAGGTTCGCTACGAGCGTAGCAAGACCTCACCGAAGCTCACCGAACCTCCGCACCCCGCGGTCCCCAGACCCCCCCCCCACGCTTCCGCGTGGTCCCAGCGGCGTGCGGCCGCCGGACGTTGAGGAAGTATCGCCCGGTCTCCCAGACGCTGCGGAAGCTCAGCGGAGGCCACAAGGTGACCGGATGCCTCGAACGGTCGACGGTTCGACGCGAGGTGACCGGTGCTACGGGGCACCACGTTTAGGCACCACGGTACTAGCTTGGAGACGCAACTCGATTTCTGCTTGGAGACTGGATTTACTATGATACACTTTCCAAGTGACTGTGATTTACTTTCCAAGTTCAATTCAAGTGTGATACTGACTATGATGCTTCCATTGAACTGTGGATTCATTCAAACTCAAAACAACATTTTTCGCGTCGATGATATTCGGGCTGCCACAAGTCCTGCTCTCCCGTTCCCGAGACTTGCCAACTTCAAGCGAAGATCCACTCGCCCGGCTGGACGAAGCCTTTCTTGTGAAGTCCCATGAACCTCAGCAAATAATCAAAGGCACCGGTGCCTGCCTGACCAAAACTGTCCCATCAACTGGTGAAATTTCGGAAACCTCTGTCAGCTGCTTGTGACGGACTCCCAGTCCAGAAGCAATGCTCTGCACGCACGAAACAAGCATCCCGCATGGCAAACAAACCTTTTTGACCCTTGTGTCATCGAGTGCCAACAGTTACTTCAGAGGTCAAGTCACTGGGCTTCTACATAGCGAGCAGTCTCGCCGTTCTCGCACTGCACCACCTGTGGAACGGTGAGATGCCACGGTGAAGCGATCTGTCGATCGATCATGGGCACGTTGTGTGCGAATGTGTGGAGAATTGAAGCAAGCTGCCTTTATTATGGACCATGACTTCCTCGAGCATTGCTTCATCTTGATGGAAAACATAAATTCAAATGAAGGTAGCTAAGGGACGCTTCCTTCTCTAGCCTTTACAGACCATCCTTTCAGTGTCAATGTTGACCAAAACATTATATAAATATCATTAAATCATGTTGACTTATCAGGAAATGGGGCGGCTCCCAGTGTCCCTCCATCTGACCTTGAACTGGCGCCGTTCACATCTCTTGCGCCATGGGAAGGCCACAGCACAAGCGACGGGCGCTAGGCGCAGCATCAATGCAAAACACGTCTCCGTTGTCTCCGTCTAATGAGCATCTTGCCGGAATGAAATCTTCAGTGACATCTTGATGCAATTTGCTAATTTGCTTTAGGCACTCTAGTCGTCAATGCGACCTTCAGGATCTTCAGCAATTGTGCAGACAAGCAACATGTGTGTTGAGTCTGCTTTGTATAGGCAGGTTGGTTTAGTATGGTTTAGTGTTGGCACTCACTCTGTCCATGAACTCTGCCAACAGGACCTGCCGGCCAATGTCTGGCACGCAACTGCCATTCTTGTTGATACTTGGCACTCTTGCACGGTAGGAGTTTGTTGGTGCTCTTGTGTTCTTGCATTGTAGGATTGTAGGCATTGTGGCATACCATTTGACTCGGCTGTGGCAGCTACTTGGTCTTCTGGAAGAAGCAGCTACTGATCGGTCAGATAACAACAATCCATGGTCCTTGACTGTGGAATAGTCTCAAGTGTGTGATACAAGCCATGTCAAGATAAACCACAAATCACGTCATCACACTATGTCACACTGAGATACAGTACTAAATGTGACCAACATCCAGCAGGTCCAGCAACACTCTTTCGGCCTATCACAGAGGTACAAACACTTTGTTTTTTTTAGCCATCTTCAAAGTCCACAAACACTGTAAAAATCAAGGCTCTGCGGTGATGCTCTGTTGAGTACACAATCCTGTGCATGTTGACCAAGTGGTCCACCAGCCACCCCTGCACCGCTTGTTCCCAACAGGAAGAGCTGAGTGCGAGGCCAAAGACGTCTGCTTTACAGACTCTCTAGGCTTTTGTGCTCCTTGATGGCGCAGCAAGCCGTATGTCCAACCATCAAACTCAACGTCCGTTCCTCAAGGCTTGTGAGATTGGTGTTGATTTACGGTCCGTTGATACATTGCTACGTTCGTAGCATCTTGGCATCTTGTAGCGATGGCCTCCAACCTAATAGCGATGGCCTCCACCTAGACCCAGTACTAGTAGAAATGCCAGGAGCTACTAGTAGCTTCTTGTTACTAGATGCTAAGCTGCGACTAGTCGTATGGCCAGGAGCTACTAGAGCTTCTTGTTACTAGTAGCGATGGCCTTTGTTCCTAAGTAGCTTCTTGTTACTACTATAATTTTTGTTTTGCGTATTCCTCACCACATAAATGATCCGTTGGTTTATGTGTGTCTCTCGTAGCAAAACACATCCCAGTCCTGGTCGAGAAGATTTCCTGGGTGGTGTTTTGATTCACGAAAGGTGGAATCTAGTCGCGAACGATGCTGAATATGCTTAATATGTCCTTGCCTCTCAGGAAAGCTCCACATATATACCCCGAATGCACATACACACCCACGAAGCAACAGGTGACCATTCCGGGCATATGTTATGTTCACCGGACTGTATCAGCACTGTTCTTGGAGTAACTTCGTCTCAGGGATACAGTATGTTTTTTGCTTTTTGATGGACTGACCCATGTCCATCAATTTGTCAGATCGTGGGTGCCCTGTCAATAAGTGCACTTATTGAAAACAAAAGCATGTTTGCTGGAGTAATGTGGACTGATTTCGAAAACCACATTCTAGACCTTCTTCATATGGGCAGTTTATGGCAGTTTTATCATTATGAGTCTATATGGATCGAAGGCAAACGTCGCAATCGTCTACCCGAAGGAGACGGGATTAGAGTGGAGCGACGGAGTGATCTGGTGGTCTAGCGACTTCTGCCCATTACAAGAGTAACAAAGGGCATCGCTGCTAGGAGCAAGGACGCTACTAGTAGCTCCTGGCCATGCTACTAGGAACAAGAAGCTACTAGTAACAAGTGCATCGCTACTAGTAGCGATGCACTTGTTTCTAGTAGCGATGCCCTTGTTACTAGTAGCAAGGAGTATGTACAATATGTAGGGAATAACATCCGAGACATTCCCAAGGCTGTTGAACAAACCCTAATTGGTGTGCATGCATTTCTCTACGCGCATATCAAGCCCTCCCACAAAGTGTCAATGTGGGTCTAGGTGTGCGTTCAAACGAGGGACCCTTTAAATCCACTGCATCGGTGCACTTTCCTAGCTCCCCACCCCAAATGCAGCAAGTCTCCCAAATTGAACGCCCGGGAAGTAGCCCTTGGGCAATTCCAGGAAGGTCGCGTCTTCATGTGTTTGTAGCATGGAACGATGTCTAAAATAGTGGCCGAGAGACCGTGGCAAAATGAAGAATCCAACAAAAGCTCACACATAGTTGGGAAACAGCGCAGGCGGATTCCTATAATCAAATCAATGCCCAAAAGGAGCTATCCAACATTATCCAACCCAAAGGCCTTGGTACTACTAGGAACAAGAAGCTACTAGGGGCTCCTGGCATCACTACTAGGAGCAAGGATGCTACTAGGGGCTCCGGGCCGTACTACTAGGAGCAAGGACGTTATCTCTTGTAGTAAGGCTAGGAGCCCCTAGTAGTGTCCTTGCTCCTAGTAGCGATGCCCTTTGCTCCTAGTAGCGTCCTGGCCGATATTTGATACTTTTGCCTATTTAAAGCACAAGCTCCAACTGCAGGCGGCCTCATAGAGGATCTGCAACGATGGCCTTAATTCAGAGGCCAACTCAGTTACACATCCTTTCCCTGTCATTGATCCTATCATTGCTAGTATCTGCTATCTGAAGTGGGGTGGAATGAGACCCAGAACCGCGCAACAAAACGAAGCACTCCTCAGGTCAATGTACCTACCCAAGAGATCAGATTTGAATCCTTCGTCAATGCTGCATTGTTACTTGTGTGCCAATAGGTCTCCGAACCCTGCAACTTCATGCAACTTCAGTATTTACCATTATTTACCAATATCTGGAGGCTAAGTGGTGTGCTGCCTCTGGCTGAGTGTGTTGCAAAAACATCAAATCACCCAAGATCAGTTGCTCTGGCAAGAACTCTGGACAAAGGGACCTGTACTGATGAAGACTCCTCAATGGTCAAGGGAACGCAGTTCGTGCATGAGCATCTTTGTGTCAACCCAAGCTTTTACAACTCAAACAACAAGCGCAACAATTAACACGACGTGTTCAAGTTTTGGTGGGACGTGGGCAGGAGTGCGGCAACACAAGCAAGTGTCCTGCCGTATTCGCCCTGAGGTTTCAAACAATTCTTTTTTTTTCCCGTAGCAAGAAGCTACTAGGTTGGGCCCCATTGCTATTGGGTTGGAGGCCATTGCTATGAGGTTGGTAACAAGAAGCTATTATAATAGCAAACATTGTTACTACTAGTAAGGCACCTGTTACTACTAGCGTGGCACTTGTTACTACTAGCAAAAGGCGAAGCTATCAGCGCCTAGGACCAGCTGGCGAGGCGAGAAAACGCCTCTTTTTCTACGCTTCCGCCGCGAAACTTCTCCAAACGAGGGAAGTGACGAAGTGACTGGATTTGCTGAACATCGATCCAGTCACTGGGATCCTCAAGTTGACATTACACGCCCCTTAGTAACCTTAGTATCCTAAGAAGCTATCCTAGCAGCTTGCATTGGCAAGAATTAATCAAACTTATATGCAAATCCTTCGGGATGAACATGATGTATGGTGCCTCATTCGAGGACCAAACACCACAGTTTCCTCGAGTCATTAACAAGACCAGGATTAGCACTGGTCACGTTCCATGTGAACAAAGCCAGTTGATTTCAGGGAGTGGAACTAAGTCTCATCATCTCTTATATAACTCTTCATGTTCATACAAACGAGGAAAACTTCCTTTGCTGCCTGCAGCTGCAGTCAATCAGCAAGATTTGACGGCTCGATTCACGGATTCATTTGCGCCCCGTCTCATTGGCACGGAACAATTCCTTGGATTCCTAGTCCAATCCTTGCACGCAATTGCATTGTCCAATAGCCATAAACAGGAGACCGACCGGTCGATGAAAAGGTTGTATGTGTGAGCCAGCTCAGCCAATGCTCGCATCCCTTCAGCCTGCTTCGGCACCTCAAAGTCTGACTGACATTGGGTAGGACAGTGATTCGTCGAGATATTTGTACTGCACTCCTATCAACAGTGGTCCAGCTAGCATGCAACCGAACACTTGCAGCTCACAGGCAATTATTAAGCTCCAAGTCAACTTACCAGCTTCATTTGCTCATCAAATCACCTTGAAATCACTTCATACCACAAGGTACCCCACGTTCATTAAAAAAAGAAAAAATGTTTGCAGATCAAACATGAAGCTTACTTGTGCTCTCTATCAAAAGACTTCAGAAGAGAGCTTGTTACTAGATCCCCAGGATTGCACACAGTCTCACCCTCACCAGTCTTGCTGAACCCTCCATCCTCGCCTCAGTAAGTCGGCACCACGCTGGCACGGACCTTCCGACTGGCTGCCTCCTTGGCGGAAGCAGTGATCGTCATAGAAGCTCGAACCTTCACCTTCCAAGCCCTTCAAACCAGATCTAAAAACCTGCAAAAAAGATGTAATATCACGACCGGAGAAGGGAGTCGTACGTATTAATTCATGCATGCTCATCACAGTCTTCTAGAGCTGTCCCGTGGAGGGCCAAATCTGATACACAAGCGGTGGACATCGGTACTCAGCGGCGGCTCCGTATTGGGCCATCAACATCAAGGTAATTAGTCTGTTGGTGGTATGGCCCAACAGCCCCAAGAACTATCAATTTGTTGTAGAGTTTTTCAGTCCTCAACATGTGAGCCAAAGCCATCATGGTAGTAATAAATGTGTTATCTTGTCAAACAAATCAAGCGCCGAGTGTCTCTCTTCAGTGCCAATGCTTTGGCCAGATTGAGGATCTTCTGCGGGGAGAGCACAGTCCTCATAAGCGAACATTGAACAATCAACAAATCATCAATTCAATAGACCAAAGACGACCAAAGAGAACCAAAAGCGGATGAATGGCAGCTATTGAATTTGGCCCAAAGAACGATAGGCTTGTCGACTTTGTGTCTCTAGATTGTGCGCTCTGCACAAAAAACGCCTACCTGCTGCAGAAACAATTGGTCATAAATGGACACGTATGGAAGACATGAGCTGCGGACAATATTGCTTTGTGTCATTTGACATGATTTGACATGACCATCGATTTTTGGAGTCTGACAGTCTGAGTCTCAATTGTCATGATCTCTCTCAGTCCGGATCTCTCTCACCACTCCCCTTCGGCGCCCGCCCTCCGGCCGGTCTTGGCACCTCTTGGCCGCAGAGAACTTCAGAGGCCGCTCTGGAGATGACAAAGCAGGTGTGAAGCAGCGCTCGGCCGAGGGGTCTAAGATGGAGAAGTCACCTGGCTGGCAAGACACCTCCGAAAGGAGCAGAAAGCATCGTCTTTCTGAAACTCCTTGCAAACTACAAGCGTCCAGATCCTAATTAATAGTAATTGACTCATTTAAGCAAGCTTATATGACTTGTTCTGAGGGACCACATGACTAGGAGACTCTCTTCCGGACCACCAGGACAACCGCCGATCAAATCAAATCTGCTGTAAAGCCTGACAGTAAAGCCTGGACCCTTGCGTCTGGATCCGATTTGCCTTGCTCCACCCAGAATCGCACCAGGGATCGTCCTTGTTCTGTATAACCTACAGTGCCCGCAAAGGCTTTCTACTGGCATCTGCAAGCCACAATCAAAATGACGGCAGTTGTTGCAATGTGACCACAAGGTGCAATACAGCAATACAGCAAGTCAATGCAAGTGATATATCACGACGCCAACACCCAAGTGATGGCACAAAGGATAAAACATATTTGTCGGCGCCATGAAGAAGCTAAGGAACGCAGATGCTCAAATTCCCAATCTGGCATCCACGAATACCTGGGCAAAGACTGATCTCCATTTTCAAGGGGGATCAAGGTGCACCAGGACAACCCTGCGGCCTATGTCAGCAAGCGAATTTGTGACCTTCAAGGACAACCACATGCCACGTCAGTCATGAGCGATCCTCCCAACGATGACCGAGGATCAATGAAACCAAACAACAAATCGATATAAACACTCGTCAAATGGTTTTCTAGATTTGCAAGTTCCCCAAACTAAACCCAGAAAAAAAGAACACACACGAGCTGCAGTCCACGATATAAACGGGATTCTTCTATGTCTCAAAAGGTTCGAGCGCAACCGTCAGTCGCCTCTGACTCCCCTTCTCAGTCTCATCGTCCAAGTCACAAAACCACCTCCTCAGTGCCAATGTCCTGGTGGAGATGCGGAGAATCCGCTGGTGCGGCGAGCGCTGAGATGTGGAACCTGGTTCTATCATGTTCTATCCATGTGAGAGAGCGCCAAAACCTATGCACACAAAAGCGGACTCCACATGTTGGTATCGCTTTTGGTTGTTCGCTATATCGCTTTACAGTGTTTCGGATGCCTGTGTCAATTTCATTCATAGATATGGGATGATATGGGTAGAGGCGGAGACAAAAGAAAAAGAGAGAGAGAGAGAGGGAGGGAGAGAGAGATAATTCTTTACACGGCAGCCCTTCCAGCCCCAGCTTTTTTTTCTAGATGGCTTTTGGTTGTTCTATATCGCAGATATCGCCGTACAGGATTCCCTCATGATTTCTATGCAAAAGTTACTCTCACAGAAAGACTTGTGACAGGACCCTGTTGGCTGTTGCTCATGTCTTGATGTTGATCCCATGAGGCTGTCAGTGGCATGATTTTAGGATATTTTAGGTAAGCTGAGGGCAGCGTTCGGATCAGTTGGCATCAGTACAGCGCAAGAGACCATGCCGGGCTTATAGTTCCAACAGCTTCAGCTTCCGAATGCGACGCCTAAGACGCATAGTTGCTAGCGATTGACCTTCCACATCCTTCTGATGGTTCTCAGGTTTCTACATGTTACTATGGACAATGGACACTCCTTCCATGTTACAATGCCAAAGGCGACGCCTAAGACTGCGACGCCCTTCAGTCCAGGTCAGGTCCTTCTTGAAAGCAAAGATGTCGGGTGGCAATGGAGGCAGTGTGAAGTTGTGAGCCCGCCGAAAGCGATCAGCGAGACTGTTCTGCTTGGAGCTCAGCTTCACTGGTTGACCGCCCAGGCGAGAAGGAATGAACTTCCTGGGTCAGTTGACCCTATCGGTGAACCTGGTTCGTAAGAAAACCAGATCATCGCATGGTTCTATCCTTCACCATGTCGTGTTTCTTACTCGCTGATACTAAATCTAAGGATGCACGGCCATTCAGTGGCCAAAACTGCGCATGATCTGAGGGCTCATAATATGCAGTTCAGTCTGTACCTGGTGAACAGCGAACCTGGTCGAGTGTTCGAGTCGAGGATGTGAATAAACCCAACGATTTGATGATCTGGGAGTAAATAGGAAACACAAGGGTAAGCTGCTAAGCCGTAAGTCCGCTCTCAAGCGAAAGACTGGCACGGCCACAAAGACACATACGGATAACATGAAGGTTGAATCAAACTCAGCTCAAAAGCAAAGAAGCACATGCCAAAGGTTCAATGCAATCTCCCCTTGACTTACTTATATATGTGCATGTGAATGTGCGATGCGCTTGCACCTCAGTTCCCCACACACTCACACAATGCAATCATATCTCACTTGACGGGATTGACATGTCTCTTTTGCTTTCCAAAGGTCACGTGCTTGGCCCAGGGCACCGATGGGTTCATATGACCCCGGAAGATCGTTCGCAAATAGCGTGAGGGAAGGCCAGTGGAATGTGAGATATCATCCTCCTGCGGAGAGAGTAGAGCAAACACCAGCATCAAAGCACCTTCCCTTGGCCGTAGTATGCAGGATATCTGGGTGTCCGAAGGTTCGAACAATCACAGTCGTTTGTAGCATGATTCACCTTCAACGGGTAAGTAAAAGTTCTCTCTCTATATAATATATATATACACTGTAAACTAGCAGTCCAACATAATGGTGATTAATAGTGACATAGTCCAACAGCTTTATAGTCGAACAGCAACTCAACTGCTGCAATACTGTATGTTACAATACACAGTCCAACAGCTTGGCTTTTTTCACCACAAAGACTCCTCTTTGGCATCAAAGGAAGAGGTTTCCACTTGAACATACTCCGTCCATGAGGACAACCTGCAATAACACATCGCAGGTTGCAAGCAATATTCAATATTGGTTTTGCGATGCTTTGCTCCTCCTGCAAATGAGTCCAAGAACGCAAGCTGGCATTGCGTTGGGGGTCGTTGGCCCATGGAGACGGCGAGTTCGATGAATCTTCCCCCACGAATCGAGACTCGACGGTTGGGTTTTGACAGGACTGGCGGCCAAAGCAAGCCTCACCAGAATGACATGATGCCAAGGCGACCGTCAAAATCATGTCAAGCCCAAAACTTGAGCTGCCAAATTCCATGTGCCCAACCATGCCCAGGTGCCGGGTCTTGCAAAGGCGCGCAGCAGCATCATAGGGAGACTCGCCGGCCTTTACTTTGAGACCAGGATATCTGAGATCTCCCACCGCTGTCTTGGTCGCCTCGGAGCAAGAAGCTACTAGTAACAAAGAGCATCGCTACTAGGAGCAAAGATGCTACTAGGGGCTCCTGGCCTTACTACTAGGCAGGACGCTACTAGTAACTTGGCTGCCTCGTTCAACACCAATTTCGCACCTGTCGACACCCGTCTGCACCCGTGTCCGCGCGGGGCACCCGTATAAACCCCGGACAAAGCGCGCACGAGTGGATTTTCCTCCCCGTTGTTGGGATCCTGGAGTGGATAGGACTTCACGCGGTGGGGCCGAGAACACAAGCACCTCTCTGGTCAATGTGTCAAGTGACTGTCTTGTAGTAGCCGATGGACACCAGGATGCATCTGGATTGCCAAGGGCTTTGTTTCGATATAGATCACGTGCGCGTGCATTAGATTTTTTTTCAACAGGGGGGGCATATCATGGCATATCTGACTGTGGGGCGTAGTGAAACCTTACAATGACATGTGTACTCGTACTTCTGAACTTCTCAATCTTCTATATCTTCTCTTCCAGCTCTGGGCCCTCTGCGCACCTGGTGCCACATTGGACGCAAAGTGCAGCTAGCGGCACGACACGTTCAGTTTTCACATTCTTGGCGTCTTGCATCCCGACCTCGAGCGGCTTGAGCCGGCTCACCCGAGTCATGTGGAGCCAATCACCCGTGAACAAGAGCAGCCAAAAGCAGCCACCCGTCATGTGTGACCAACCCAGTATTGTCAAATCATGTGTTCCATGATGCTCCATGTGCATCGCTAGTAGTAACAGGTGCCTTACTAGTAGTAACAAGAAGCTATTAGGAACAAGTGCCTTACTACTAGTAAGAGGTGCCTCGCTAGTAGTAACAATGTGTGTCAGTTTTCCGAAGTCTGTCTGTTCACATCGGTTCACACAGTGCCCTCTGGTCTTTGTCGTCTTTGTCCCAGTCACTCCTTTCCTTGGTTGAGCACCACTCCGCAAAGCCTTGTTGAAGTCCGATTCAAACTTATTTTCCTCAGTTGCAAACGACTCTGGCAGGCTTACATCATATAGTTTGCCATACAGGTTCAATCAACTAATCCATACCATGAGGTGTTCAGTTCATTCCACTACGTATTCAGTATACATGACTTAGTCAACATGCAAAGTCTGGTCACACCGCTTCTTTGTTCAACATTGCTGGAGGCTTAAAGATCTTAAATATAGGGATATGTACTCACACCAAGGAAACATCACTTACACTCCCTCGGATCGGGAGCCTGGCTCTCCTCTGCCGGGGCGTGTGTGTGTGTGTGTGTGTTCCAAGAGAAGCTTCTATGTACATCATCTTGAAACCCTGGCTTGGTCCCCATGCGCCCAATGTACCAGCATGCAGTGTGCTCTTCCGTCGATCTATACATCTGTGCAGTCTGTGCATGTGTACTTGTAGACACTATACATACAATATACATATGTTTAAACATCATGCATAAACACACTGTGTGACTCAAATCCATTGACCCCGAACCACTTGTCCAGTCAGCAACTGTCAGCATTGCCACGCGTCCGGTTTGGTATTTAGTTTCTGCATGGCACTGTGAAGCCACAAAGAGAGAAAGGTGCCTCAGGAAGATTCGGCAGTATGGAAGTGAAAAACCAAACAAAACAAACCAACAAACACAAAACTGGAAGCAGTGAATTCGATAATATAGCAAATGGATTCTGGGGAAGATTTGCCGATGGTGTTCCGTGTCTTTCAATAGCCTTCAATAGCAATGGTCCTACATTCAATTCTGTATTCCCTGTGGTGTTTGTCTTAAAATAGGAAGCAGCCCTTCAGTCAGACCAAAACCACAACCTCTGAATAGATAAGGTACCGTTGTGTCGTAATTCACTTGGAATGTACTCGATCGCCGCAACATTCCTCTTGACTGCCTGGAATTCAAAGAGGAAAGACACAAACACATGCACAGTACCAACGTGATTTGTTCAATCAACTTGAACAGTTGAAACAATTGCACAAGTGAGAGAGAGGTGGATGACGATGGAATGGTAGTGACATCTGTAAAAACATTAACCCCTTTGGGAGCTGACGATAGTGCTTGCGCCAGAATTTTGTTGCGACTTTCCAGATTTCACAATGGCATCTCTGGGTCCTGCCCAGTTGCTCTCCCTAGCCTGAGTATTCAGTGCTCTCGGCTAGAAGTCGCGTTCCAACAAGATTAATTCAGCGGAATAAACTAAAACCCCTGGATCTTGGTAAAGATTCATGCCCCACCAAGCCGTCCTCGTGGCAAAGCGAGGTATCCTTCCGCACATTCCTCAGCACAACGTGCAACGGAGGTGAGCCAAGAATGACGACACGATGAGCATGGTGAAGCCATCTCCCAGCAATACATCTTCGGTTCGCTGGATGCAAACTGCCCAGACCCCTGCAGAAAAGAACTGAAGAAGAGCCAAGGCTGCCAAGGCTCAAGGAAGCGAACCTCAAGGACTTCCAGCCTATCAGGGGGTGCAGGTGTGCCCGGTCCATCTTGGAGATCATTGCGAAGCAACCATGCGATCAAACTTGAAATCGTGATGTCTTGTCTTGTCACGCCCTTACAATGCTTCATTACATTATATGATTATGTGATATCAGTGGTGGTGCCAAAACTACTTGTTCATGGTGTCTGCATGGACAAGTTAGGACGTCCCCTATCGTTTTTCAGGGCTTTGGTATGTTTTTGTCTTTCCACAAGTTTTGGGCACTCCAAGCAGGGAATGCAACTTGAGAAAAGGGGGTGAACGAAGCGTTGGTCAGCAACGACTTGTGGGTAGCAGCAGCCACTCGTAGACCAGCAGCAGGCAATAGCACACCACGAGGGCCGGCAAGCCACTAGCAAGGCAGGCAACCAGCAGCGCAAAATCAGCAGCAACGCAGCAACCAGCAAGCCAGAAGCAGCAACACGTCAGCAGCAACACCAGCAAGCCAGCAACAGTAGCAGCAAAGCAGCAAGCAGGCAGCCAGCACCAGCAAGCCAGAAGCAGCAACACCAGCAAGCCAGCAGCAGACCAGCATACCAGAAGCAGCAACACCAGCAAGCCAGCAGCAGCAAAGCAGCAAGCAGAAGCAAGCAGCAGGCAGCAACAGCAGCAGCAGCAGCAGTGCGGGGATCTTGTCATGCGGCTGAGAAAACATACCTTGTGAGGTATCGTTGGGGTATCATTGAAATCGCCCATTACATGGAAGCAAAAACGGATCCGCACTCTTTCCCGAGCTCTGCCCATGATCAAGGTCAAGCTGAGTAGACCGCTGGTGCGCAGGCCAAAACGGCTCCAAGCTGTGACAACTCTCTAAGGATCTTTCTGCAATGCACGTCTTAGAGGTATCGCTTTTAGGACGTCCCCTATCGTTTTTCGAGGAAAGCATTAACAACAAAGGAAGCACTAGCTGCGTGCAACACCCCACTTAAACTTGAGGATAGTTCTGTCTCTGACTCAATACTGTTTCATTCTGATACTGATACTTTCTCAATTGCATCTCTGAGTCTATTTTGTTGGGGAGTTTCACGCATGGTCGCTGGATTCGAAGCTCTGGTTTATTCTGGCAGGTTAAAATGAAGCTGATGGGTGACAGTGGAAGCTCAATCCCCTGAGTGGCCTCCCAACCTCAAAAACTAAACTTTGGCTCGGAACAACGAACGCTTCACAAATCCGAAGACACTCTGCACCTTGCGGCTGTGAGCAAATCGCGGCTCTGAAGACCTCCCCTCAGTGGCCAAATCCCAAACAAAGCTCTTCCGAGACGAAAACTCCCAACATCTCCCAACATGGTGAAGCAAACGACCGGGCCATCAAACCCGGCCAAATGGGATGTCAGAGTGGCCGGGGATTCGGATTCATGCACTCCACCCCCTTCCCAGCTCCAAGCGGCGATCGTCCTTCAAGTCCTGGTGGAGTCGGCGGAGACGGGCTGAGCACCGCCGGTGTGCTAAGCCAGGGAGTAGATGTTCGATAGTGTGCGATAGCCTTTTAACATGGAATGTTTTCACATCTCTCTGCCTTAGCTTTTGATTGACAAGTTTGCTGAAGTGTCCCCCTTTTCAGTGGCTCCTAAATAGAGTTATATAGTGAGCATCGCAACCTCTCAAATCCCGTGATAGGGTTCCACATTGACTCAAAAAGACCGTGTTGAAAGCGAATACGTGTTGGTTTGCAACTCAGGATCTGGTATATCATCTCTACCGTGTTGTTAGGGGGGCCTCCAGGAAATCTAAAATACATTTTCCATTGAAACCACCTCCAATAAAACACCTCCAAAATGTAATTAATGTGTCATTTTTGAAGTCGATGAAGTTACATTAACAAACAAAATGAAACTTGCATTTTTGCCCCCTGATCAAAGAGCCTAAATGTAACTTACTAGTTCTACAAAAATGTAAGTTACAGTTTGGCGAAAATGCAACTTACATTTCCACTGGTTTCTGTATCCGGTGTTTGACTTGAAAGATCTTGCAAACGTCGCAGCGCTCCTTTTGCCATCATCTTGCCCACTGCCCAACGCACGATGTAGGCTGCGGCTAATGATTTCTTATCCAACACCTATTTGAATTCATAGTGGTATAGGGCGGCTGGGGCATCAACAAGCCATCAACAAGCCTGTTATGCCGGAACCAAAAAATTGAGCCCGGCCCATCCTCGCTGACAAATTGAAGCACTTGCCAGCTGTAGCTGCATTTCTGGGAGTCTGTGAGGATTGACAAAAGGAAGCTCTGGTCCGTACCTGAGCTGGACCCCTTCCGAGGTTCACAGAAACCATTTGCAACAGCTGCGCAGCTGCGTCCGGTTCTTGTGCTGTCAAGGGATCGCCAGAGTGTGATCTAGAAATACCATGGACCATGACCATGGCTTTCTCAGAATTAAAGAATAGGTGGGTCATTAGGGCTTTGACTACCACCGAAGAGTCTGTCGCCCAGCCTGGGTGTTGGTAGGTCCCTGAGTGAAATGACACTATAGATAGTTTGTACAGTAATCGTGTGTGTGTGTGTGTGTCAACATATTGTCTTCCAGAGAAAAGGCCCATTACCTACCCTAAATCTGTGAAGGTGTCTCGCAAAAAAAAAAAAAAAACACCCAATGTCAGTGCCAAATGGGCACGTTCCGAACATCAATGACCATCACATCAAGCGCATGTTGCCTTGACTCCTCCCACCCGGCGACCAAACAGGTCCAAGAGGTCCAAGGTGCAAATCCGCTGTTTGTGCGGCTCCAACTCTGAGACCGTCGACGGGACCGGGAGGATGAAGGCTTTGGCCAAGTCCCACCAGAGCTCCTCGTGGGGCCCGGTGACGTCGAAAGGACATCGGCGAGGTGCCCGATGTGAAAGCCTACTTGGTAGGCTACTATTTGCACTGCTAATGTCCGCCTCTAAACAATAAACCCCCCCCCTTGATCAAGTGTAAAATCCAGAAAAATCCTAGAAAATCTTGATTTGAATTGGAAATGAAAGGAAAGGAAAGGAGATTGAAGGAAAGGAAAGAAATGAAAGGGAAATAAAAGGAGATAAAAGGACATGAAAGGGAAACAAAAGGAAATGAAAGGGAAATGAAAGGAAAGAAAAGGAAATGAAAGGAACACACATGGAAAGAAAAGGAAATGAAAGGAGCATATATGGAAAGAAAAGGAAATGAAAGGGAAACAAAAGGAAATGAAACCAGCCAGGTTTGGTTTAGCATTATTTCAGGTCTGGTGTAGTTGAAGGTTTGGGCAGCTTGTGGGG